CTTTGGTTTGTCCCTGAATGATTTTGACATACTTTTTCTATTTTGTGTGGCTGGCTTAGACCACAGTTCTAAAGGCATTTTATTTATTTATTTTTGAGACAGAGTCCCCCTCTGTTGCCCATGCTGGAGTGCAGTGATGCACTCTCACCTCACTGCAGCCATGGCCTCCTAAGCTGAAGCAATCCTCCTGCCTTAGCCTCCTGAGTAGCTGGAACCACAAGCAGGTGCCACTACACATGGCTAATTTAAACAATTTTTTTTTTTTAGAGATAGGGTCTCACCACATTGCCCAGGCTGGTGTTTAACTCTTGGGCTCGGGCAAGCCTCTCACCTTAGCTTTCCAAAGTGCTACGATTACAGGCATGAGCCACCATGCCCAGCCTCTGAAGACATTTTAAATGTCATCCCATGGAATCCTAAATTTCTCTTATGCTTTTTGCTTGGCCTAAATGATATGGCTCCAATGAGTGGAGGAACACCGGAGCTTTTGTCTCACATTGAATTAGACGAAACAACTCGGACACATGTGGAGTGGTTCTAAGGCGCAGACAGTTTAACAGGCGAGAAAGTTACGGAAGACAGCAGAAGGAAGACGCTCCCCCATACAGAGACAGAGGGAGGGGGGCTCTAAAGCCAAAAGAGGAGACCCCAAGTGGAGCAGAAACCAGCCAGGTATATGCAGAGGCTGGAGGAGGCAGTGATGTCTGATTTGCATAGGGCTCAGGGGATTGGTTTGACCAGGCATGTCATTCATGTAGCCCATGAAAAATCTAGCCCTCCTACCCTAGTCTTCTAATATGCAAATACAGGGCACCACGATGTTCTACATACGTGGAGATATGTTAGGGGGGATATGTTGCCAGGCACATATGGGAGCAAGAGCAAGGAGCAGAGGGCAGGAATCACCATGTTTGGATGGACCCAGTTTCTAATGGCCTCCATTTGCATATCGAAGGTTGCCGGCCTGGCTTTCCTGCTAGACAAGAAACATTTCTGACTTTAAAAACAAAAACTTCCCAATGACCCCTTTCCTCTCTATCTTCCTAAAATAATTTCTTAATAACTACCACATTAACTCTAAAGTTGTGGCAATGGCAAAGCCCCATCCCTCTCCTTCAAAGGGCTGGCATTCAGATGGGAAAGGAGGCCGATGAGCTATCCCACCATACCTCCAGGAGAGGGGTACCCAGGAGATGGCGGAAGTGCCTAAAAAGCAGAGCCACGTCCTGAGGAAGGGCAGGGATGGCAACAACTCCATGGCATATCTTCCATGCATCCAGGCTCTCTTCCATAGCATTTCATTTCATCCTAACCAGTCTTGTGCAGCTAATGTTTTTACCATCATTTTGTAGTAAACAGTAGAGGAAAAGCATGGCCTTTTGTGTCAGATAAGCCTAGTTCGAATCTCATCCTCCCAAATTATCCACTGTAGGGCTCTTGGGCAATGAGAGAAGAATTTTGCGGGGGGAAATGTGCTTTTCTTTTTTTTTTTTTTTTGACACATAGTCTCTCACTCTGTCACCCAGGCTGAAGTGCAGTGGTGCCATCCAGCTTATTGCAGCCTTGACCTTCTGAGCTCAAGCAATCCTCCTGCTTCAGCCTCCCAGAATGGAACCACAGGTGCATGCCACTGTACCTGGCTAACTTTTAATAGAAATGAGGTCTTGCTCTGTTGCCCAGGATGGTCTCAAACTTCCGGGCTCAAGTGATCCTCCTACTTGTGCCTCCCAAAATGCTGGGATTACAGGCGTGAGCCACCACACCTGGCCACAAGTGCTTTTTCCTGTCCTCTCTCACCACTCACTACAATCAACACAACACTTCTAACACCTGATGTGTGGGAGGTCTTTCCCTATACACCAAGCAGTCAATCAATTCTGACACCAGATTCAGCAGCTGACACCAGCTGGGTGTCCTCTTTTTCAGTTCTGACACTATGTACCTGGAGACAGTGTCAGATCCCATAAATTCAGGGCTCAGTCCCATAAGATGATCTCCAATTCACATGCCAGTCAAAAGCTCCAGGTTGTAGCCTATTCTTCTGGCTGACTAGCTATAAGTCTGGGTTCCCATAACTCCCTCTTGGGTTCAATTAATTTGCTAGAGTGGCTCACAAAATTCAGGACAACACTTACTTACATGTACTGGTTTGTTATAAAGGATGTTCACAAAGAATACTGATGGAGAGATAGGTAGGGCAAGGTACGTAGAAAGGGGTAAGGAGCCTCCCTACCCTCTGGGACATGCCACCCCACGGGAATCTCCACGTGTTCAGCTAACTGGAAGGCCTCTGAACCCAAATCTTTGGGTTTTTATGGAAGCTTCATTACATAGGCAGGATTAGCGTAAACTAAAAACAAAATTCTAAGCCCCCAAATTGACTGAACAGACATCTCTTGGCCAAAGGGACCCCAAAGTAAACTTGAAAGCTGAGTTCTCAGCTATGATGGGATGGGGGATCAGACACACCCTGTTATTCCCTCCTTCGCTGACAATGATTATGCTTTCTTCCCTAAAGGCCTAACAGAAACCAGACCTTCCCAAATCTCTACCACTGATATCAACCAACCGCCTGATGCTGCCCTTCCTGTTTTACCTGACCACCAACCATGGAGTCATTTTGGCCAGTCTACAGAGAATGCACAGCAATGGTTTTTGTGTCCTCTGTTTCACCTTTTGATGTAAGAGGGCCAAAAACTCCACCCTCAGATAACCTCCACGCCTCCATTTTTGAATGGGGAGAAGCATGAAGCTCAATTGCACATGCGTACATTTCTCCCCTCATAAATATTCATGACTTTCTGACAGCTTATAAATATGTATATTTAGCCATGCTGCTCAGTATAAGTTCATGTTCCCTTAGCCCCAGCCTGGAAGTGTCTGTTTCTGGCTTCTGGGTGGAGGCTACACTTCTCAGCCTGTCAGAATGGCCATCCTGCAGGATGAGCTATAAAGAGAAAATAAAGCTCTCCTTTCCAAATGTATGAACTCCGTTATTCTCCAGTTGACATTGGTTAAATCATGGCCATTGGTGATTAGCTTAACCTTCAGCCCCTGTTCCCTCCACGGAGGCTGGGGGATGGGGCTGAAAAGTCCCAACCCTCTTATTCGTACCTGGGTCTTTCCTGTGACCAGCCCCATCCTAAAGCTGCTTAAGGGCTTCCAGCCACAACTTAACACACAAAAAGACACTTACTGCTTCGGAGATTCGTAAGACTTCTGGAGTTGTAGGTCAGGAAACAGGGATGAAGACCAAATATATATTTACAGTATTACAGGCAAGTTACTTAACTTCTCTGGGCTCAATTGACTGATATTTATAATGAGACTAATACCAACTAGAGTTGCTATGAGTACCAAGTGCTAAAGATAGAGAGAGAGAGAGAGAGAGAGAGAGAGAGAGAGAGAGATATAGATTTATCAAAATAAAATAATACCAGGTTTGGCAACATAGGGAGACCCAGTCTCTACCAAAAACTAAAAAATCAGTCATCCATGGTGGCTTGCGCCTGTGGTCCTAATTACTTGGGAGGCTGAAGTAGGAGGATCACCTGATCCTAGGAGGTCAAGGCTGGAGTGAGCCACGAGTGTGCCACTGGACTCCAGCCTGGATGACAGAGTGAGAACCAATCTCAAAAACAAAAAAAGATTTTGTGTTTGGCACATACTTGGTGTTCAATAAATCACAGCACTTTTTAATTAAGAGATTTACCCAAGGTCTATCTTGTTAAGTGGCCTAGGACTTGATGGCTTCTTGCTTTGTAAGATCCTAAGGGTATTTTCCATGTCAGCTGTGTGGTTTGTCTCCTCTCTCAGGTTCTGAGTTCTTCCAGGACAGGGATAATGTCTCCTACCTTTTTGATTTAGTGGCCTGTATTTAGAATGACTTTACTTATATGCTAGTCCTCAGAAGTAAGATACCATTTATTATATGATATTGAGTTTTCTACTCACTGGTATGTGTAAATGTTAATAGATTAGGCAAATGTCTCTCTGACATAAGTAAGCACCATTTTCGACTTATCTTCCATCTCTAGGACCAACTCTCTCCATATATGTCTGACCAGGGAGACCATAAAACAGGATTTTTGTGATGAATCATTCAAGTTTTATGTTCAAATGTCATGAAAGAAAATGCAACTTATTGCATCACATGGACAGGAATGAAGGACAATTTAACCTCAGCTAAACTGAGAGATCCTGAAAACATCTGAGGTTTTATATACAGTATTGTGTATATGTGTGCCTGTTTCATGACACATTAAGCAACTCATTTCCTCTCTTATTCCTCCACCCAGCTCCTGAGAACTGCCAATTTTCCCTATTATCGTTTCCTGTTAAATCCATCCTGTTGCCTCCCATCCCTTTGCAGGCTCTCAGCATTCTTCACTTGCTATGAAATGCTCCTGCAGTGGCTCTCAGATGTCAGTCTTACCTTCTGGAACTCAGGCTCCACCCTGGCACCAGACCAGTGTCTCTAAAATGCCATGGACCTTGCCCCTGCTCTGCCACCCAGTCCTTCAATACCGCCTCTTCTCTACCCATACAGCTCTTTACTTGGAACATGAGGCCCAACAACCTGGTGTTGAGCTCAGAACACTTTCACATGCTGACTACTTTAAACCAAAGGTGATTAGAAGGCCTCAGAAGCGAGGTCTCTCTGACCGTCTCCCATCCTCCTGTCTCCCACCAGTCTTTCTCCTCTGAGGTGATTCATAGAAACCAGAATTCCTCTTCCCCAAAGTGGGTCATAGAAACTAGAACCCCTTTCCCCCAGAGAAAGCCATAAAACCTAGAAAGGCCACTCCCTTTTCCTTCTCCCTTCTCCCTTCTCCCTTCAAGACCCTCATTTCAGAAGGGTCCTGCTCCATCCCCACACAGAGAAGCCAAGAAAAATCCGAACAGGCCTTGCTGGATTCCCCTCCCCTGCGCCGACCTCAGCTATTACCATTAGATCACACTCTTTTTGTCTAATTATAGTCCTACATGGCTAGCCATTCTTAATTGAACCTATGCATTAAAAGAGTTTTTCCTAGGTCATTGGGTCTTTATTTCTGAAGATTCCTATATCATGTAAAACTTTGATTAAATAAACGTGTTATGCCTTCTCTTACTAACCTGCCTTTTGTTATAGGAGTGTTGGCCATGATCCTTATCATAGGTGAGAAAAGATGTCACCTTTCTGCCCCTATAGTTTCTGGCCCCTAAAATTGGAGTCGCTGAGACACCTAATTTGCTCTGGAGCCTGTGGAATAGATCCTGGGACAACTGGCAAACAGCCAGCAAAGGAAAGGTAAACATTTTTTTACCAAGGTCAGCTCTCCCGGACCTCTGCCTCTAGTGTTCAGTTAAGAACTGCAGGTAAAAATTTCTCAATAACTTCCATTCCAAATTTAGGTTAGCAGGAGAAAATCATTTGTATGGATTGTGACTCTTGCATAAATTTGGTTTTGGGGTACCATTTGATATTGATTCTTTCCTTCCCAGGGACAGCTGTTTCATTCCTGTTTGTCTCATTTCTTTCCTGAGTGTTTGGCTTCGTGACCAGTGAGAATACTCTGTCTGGTCTCTGCCATCAGAAAAGCAAAGTATCAGCATGTATCAGGCAGCCAGTTGAATAGACTGGGAGCCTCTTCTCTTTGTGAGAGTGAGTCAGCTCGCAGATGAATTTGACTTACTAAGAGGTCCCAGTCCATCAGAGGCTTTTGTTGTTTCAACCTCGGTTGCTTCGTCCTGTGGCAACAAAGGTCTTTATTTGACTGTCCTTAAGAGTGGCTCTGCATCTTGGGAGGGCTGCCTCTTTTGAGTAAGTCTCATTCATCTTTGGTTAAGTTATAAAACACTTACTGGTTTTGATTCTGTATTAAGTCACTTGGTAAATACCTCTGGTTTAAATGGAGAAAAAAAAAAAGGCCAGGAATATTTGTTATTGTCCCAGCTGGAATTTAAAGGGAATTTAAAGGGTTTTTTTTTTTTTTTTTCTTTAAAGGAGTTCTGTGGTCAGAAGTCAGGTTAATTGGAAACTAATATTCGGGATAAAATTTTTTTAAGTTACTTTTGTTCTATTGGATCTTGCTCACCCTAGGAGAACATCTCAGTTGACTGATACCCTCTTCTTGCACCCCTGCAAACTATATGCTCGGTCTTTCTGCCCACTTCCTTTCTTGTTGGCATAATTTTTGCTAAGGATAATGTGGAACTTCATTATGAAAATTAAACTTTCTCCAAACTGACTCCTAAAGACTTCTTCTACTTACTTCTGTCCCTCCTTCCTTTTGCTGCCTCTGATCTTCTATTCAGTTCCTTTAATCCTTAATATGTTCCCCTTCAAGCTCCTATCTCCTCCATTTGGTGATCAGTGGATGGAAAATTACTAAAAGGAAACATCAGAGGTAAGAAGAATTGAGGTTTCTATAGCTAAACTTTAGTCAGGCTTCTGAAACTTCTCCAACGCCCATCTCTGCACTTCCTTGTAAAATCCTATAGGAAATTTCTGTAAAATCCTATAGTAAATTCCTGTAAGTCTATGTTGCCTTGACATCCATTTTGAATCCTCCTCAGTCCCACCTAATTGACTCACTCTCCTCCTGGTCAGGCTCACCTAAAGAGTGGCTTTTCTGATAGGCCCATCAGGGAAGGGGTAGAGTTTATAGCCACTCTCTAGAAAGAAATCTCAAGACTAAATTAGTGAAAAATGCGACAATTCAGTTTTAGCAGAAATAAATGTCTTATCCATTCACATGGGTCTTTGTGGACAGTTAACTGCTAGATGTCCCTTCAGTCACCAGCCTAAAATCTAGTCCAGAGCTTCCATAAGATTGACCTCTGATAATAGGTTTTTCTCTATTCACCATATTTAAGAAAGGCTGTTAACAGAGAAACTTTGAGATATAAATTTTCTACCCTGTTTTCTCTAGAACTTGACGGTTAACCTTTGGAAATACAAGCTTCAAAGAAATAATGATCATCTGAAAGAGAACTGTTTAGAAACTGGTCCGATAAAAAGTCTTAAACCCTTTTTCCACAACACTTGGGAAAAAGCTTGAACTATCTGAGCAGGTGGCCTCAACTTGTCCCATTCACCAGAACTAGTTAGTAAGTCTTAAATTATCAGACCTGGCACATAGCTAAAAGTTTTAGAATGAAAGCTGTAAAATCTGCTTCTATCTATATGTTTATATTATTAAATATAATATAGATGTATATTTTTGCCTGGGTTTACTGGTTATACATGTTTGTGTTGCCTCTGTTAAATGTTTAAGACCATAAAAGTGTAAATTCAACCTAGAGCAGAATGCACACTAAAAATAAATTGCCTGATGCATGTCAGTCATGGAGAAAAAAAGAGAGGAAAGAACCACGTTTAACTTTTTAGTTTCTTGGCTTCTGCAGTATTTTTGGCACTTGCCTGATTTACCAATAACAACAAAAAATACTTACGATAGTGGCCAGCTTTGTTTAATGTTTTATAAAATTTTCATTAACAGTTCAAGCATAATTGTTAAGAATAACTAAATTAAAAGAATATAAGTTGTATAAAAGTTTAAGTGAGTTTTTATTAATAATTATAAAATATGTCTGCTTTAAAATAGCATAAAATCTTTTTGATAACTTGAAACTTTGAAATAAAATTAAGTAATAGATACCCATTAAATGTTTGAGTCATTTCAAAATAAGTCGAAATATCAAAACATTAATTACTAAGCGTAAATTTGTTTATATATTTTGTCATCTTGCTTTTATATGACATAGAGAAATGAAATATATTTAGTCTGCTAATAAACATGAAAAATTGAGGAAACATGTTTCTAAAAAGTATAAAATGGTGAATGCTGATATAAGACAGTTCATAATATTTGCTAATTTTCACCAGAAATTAACTTTACTAAGAATTTGAGATTAGGCCAGCCATGGTGGCTGATGCCTGTAATCCTAGCCCTTTGGGAGGCCGAGGTGGGTGGATCACCTGAGGTCAGGAGTTCAAGATCAGCCTGACCATCAGGGTGAAACCCCATGTAAATAAAAATAAAAAAAAAAGAATTTGAGATTATAATTAATGTATGTAATTAACCTATTCAAAATTATAAGGGAAACAATACTGTATACAACAAAAATAGTCATAAAATCTAGAAATCCCAGGAAAGCCTTTTTTTTTAATTCTGCTACAACATTCATTCAGTTTTCCGCTAAGCTTCTCTTGCTGTCCTGGCTTCTGGTGGGCCTCTGTTAACCTGGGTGTGATAAGTATATTTTGCCATGCAGAATATCTTGCAGTGTTGCAAAACTATTGTCTTTCCCATCCTCTTTCAGGAGAAAAAAATTATTTAAACAAAGTAATATACTATAGAGCAAGTAAATTTTTACTATGTAACTAACACAAGCCAAGGAAGAATTGAGTGCTAGGTGTTAATTATTTCCCTAGGTGAATCTTTTAAAAACTCACATGTCTGCAACATGAATTGTCTTTTACATTAAATTTGGCAGTAGTGATTCTTAAGAGCCTTCAAGTTTCATGACTTTTTCTTTAAAAATTGCTGCTACAAGATCCATTTTTTTCTGAGACAATTTTCTTAAATCATTAAAGAAGAAATCATTGTATCACTAGTAAGAGTGGTGTATTTAAACAATATTACAAATTCCCTCTAGAAAGTTTATTTTCTAAACTTACTTTGTAATTGGTTTCAAGATTTGCTACTGGTGTTAGTTTTGCTGTGAAGGGGCACAATTTCTGTTTGTCATTTTGAAGTTTATTATTATTTTGTTGTCAGAAGTTAATTCTAAATATGTTTTTATGTAACAAACACGATTTTGAAATCATTACCATCTGGCCACTTGTTTTCTTAGCCGATTCTTAGCTTGTTACTGACCAGATTACCAAAGCAGCTCTCAGTAGTTTCACTCTAGAGGGAAGGATTAGGCTTTCTCACTTGCATGATGTAAGGGGAAAAAGGAAGCTGGTGTGTGTGTGTGTGTGTGTGTGTGTATTTTTACCTCCTTCTTCCTTGTCTTTAAGGCAAACACATCACATAAAGATGATTGATTAGAGGAAGAGGGAGGTAATATTTCTGATGTCTAGATGGCTAAAATAGAGACCCCTAAATTATGTACATGAGACTTACAGTTCTGTCTTCAAACATTTGTTCATTAGCTTATTTTTTTTTAATTGCTCATTGAGCATCTACTCAGCTCCAAGTGCTGTGGTAAGATTAAAAGATGGCTGGTCAGCACCTGTGGAGCTCAGACTCAGGTAGTCGGAAGAGAGACCTGGAAACAACTGACCTTCAAATATAACCAGGACCAGGCTAATGTCTTTAGAGGCCTTAAACACACTGAATAGCGTGTGATGTGCTACTCATTTATAACTTTCCGTATGTAAATAAGTGCAAAGAAGTCTGATATAATTGTGATTACTTTCCTTAAAGATTACATTTACTTGAAGAGGGAGGAGCTACATATTTTTCCACATTTTTATTTTGCTTTATTGCCCCAGCTTTATGAGTGTCCTAAGGCTATGCTTAGGTCACCTGGGAAATCCAACCCGAAGAACAACTCTAAGAGCACTTGAAGGTGTTCATAAAACTCAGTGGAATCCCTGAGGACTGGGCAGACACTTGAGAAGTGGTCATCAGTTGTACTGAGCAGTTAGCTTGTAACACTGCATGGAAACACACAGGTTCTCACTGGGGGAGTGAAGACAGAGACAAAGCCACTTAATGGCTGCCCCCTTGGCGCATACACCATGTTTGGGAAGAATGCATTTGGAGGCTTTTGGGGAAAAAAAATATTTCATAATCAAGTGTTTGCCTAGGATGCTGCCTTTTTCCTGAATGAAATTTATCAACATCTGTTTCATGGCCACAAGATAATTGCACATTTATTGAAGTTTCGAGACCCATGTATACTGGCTAGAGCACTCACTGAACAGTTTTGGAATCTTCTTATAAAATATTAGATGGGACTTGTTGAAGTTACAGATTATAGACACCACCCAAATTCAACATTCTGTAAATTTTTACCATTAGTTTTATGGCTGAGGCTATGTTAGCTCTCTTTATTCCCTTCCCTTGTATAAGTTGTTGGCATTTTGGAAGGAACCCTTCCCCATTTTCCACAACAATACAAAATTTTAAATAATTTAACAAAGTTGACTGTTCACTGAAAAAGTTAAAAAAGAAACAAAAAAAATTGACCAAGTCCCTTTTTAAAAATTTATTTATTTATTTGTTTATTTAGAGATGATGTCTTGCAATCTTGCCCAGGCTGGTCTCAAACATCTTTGGTTCAAGCAATCCTCCAACCCTGGCCTCCAAAATTGCTGGGATTACAGGTGTGAGCCATTGTGCCTGGCCAACCAAGTCCCTTTGAGTCATTTCGTACCAAAGTGAATGCAGCTGTTAGCCGGATTCTCCCCAGCTAAGTGATCTTCAGCCCACATGATTTGAAGAACAGCCAATTCCAATTCACAGTTGAGCCACAGCAAGATTTAAAATGCAGTGCTGCACTTTACAGGTCTTCTGGCTCTTTCAGCCAAGATGTTAAATGTGAGACATCTAAAGGACTATTCTACTGTGAACATAGCCAGATAGCAGATATGCCAATCATGGTTAGAGCTGAGCTTTCTGCAAATCCAGGGGCTGGTGGGTACCCTCCTTTCCTTTTGGGTTTCCTCTTTGCTGAACTCCTGTTGGAGACAAATAGTTCCAAGAAAGATGTGATGAGCAGAATAAAGGCAAAACATGAAGCTGGGGAAATAAATCATTGCCTGAGTAAGAAATCAGATTTTAGTTGAGGGCTTTTAGGATAGATATCTGCATATAAATTGGGATTTTTAAGGTAACTCAAAGATTCACTCATTAAATCAATAGTATTTAAGCCCTTGGGATGAACTCAAACTCTTGACTTTCTTAGATAGACTCTACCCTTTCACACCAACTCAAGAATCACACAGTAAGGGCATCTCACCTAATTAGGTAATTCTGAGGTACAGCATAATTGGGTACCAGTTTTAAAAGAGGTGAATGCTTGCTCTCCAGGTAAAACAAACAGAAAGGAAAGCAGCTCTCTCCACATTGCAGGAGAAATGGTTTTATTGCCTCAATTGGTAATATCATCATTAAAAACTAGTCCTGCACACTAATGACTGTTTTAATGGATTAAATGGAAAGACGCACACTGAATGTCACAAGCAGTTAGCTTTGCATGCTGGAATTGCTGGAGATTTTTTCTTTGGATATTTTTGTAGTTTTCAGATTTTCTTCATTGAGCACATTATTCATTCAGTCATTGATTTTTATTATCAAGCAACACCTCATTCTATGCCATAGAATTAGCGTTCCCCTTGGCTTAATTTTTTTAATTATACATGTTTGGGGAGAAAATTTAAGTGGTAGGTGAAATTTGAAATTGGGTGGAAATGTATTTTATTATTGTATACAAGACTCAAGATAGACTAATTCAAAACTCAGAAATCATCATTTCCTTTAATGCAGTGGTTCCCAACTCTGACTGCACTTTGGAATTACCTGGGAAGCCTTAAAAATACTAATCCTAGATCACTCACTCAATCTCTCCAACCAGACCAAATGGTTCAGAATCGTAATAGGGCCAATTGTTAGTATTTTTAGAAGATCAACTTTTGACGATATCCAAGGTTCCATATTACAATTCGTTTATCTTCATAGCATTGACTAGGAAGTTACCTTACAGATGGTCTGTAACTTACAATGACTCAACTTACAATCTTTCAACTTTATGATGAATTCATCTAGGTACTAAATGCATCTCCAACTTAATAATACTTTTTTCTTACAATGAGTTTATCTGGACATCACCTCATATAAGTTAAGGGACTTTCTGTACTTTAAATTCGATTCTGTAGGTGAATTGTTATATTCTTTCATTGCCACAGGAGAGGGTGGTAACACCTACTACCAAAGTGTTCCAGGTTCTATGGTACAAGAACTTGGGAACTTTTATCAGCCATGTGGTCACTTGCTGAAGCAGTCTCAGAGGTGATTTCTGAGGGAAACAAACTTTCCCATAGGTATGATGCCTTAAGCTCACTTCGATGCTACACTAGGGTGATGTTCTATTCAGCTGTGTGTCCCCATTCCATTCCTTAACTTTTATAACAATATACATTGTATAACAATACAGTACATTAGACACCTTCCCATCTGCATACCTATGCTCATGGATAAGCAGCTGGAATTGGGAATCTGAACTCAAGGTCTTGCCAGACTTTTAACTCAGTCTCACCACTGCCCAAATCATATCAAACCTCATAAATAGCTGGTAAAAATGCTATTTATGGAGAATTATCAAGGAATATGCCCCCTTGTGCTCCTCTAAACAATCTTTAGACCAAGGGCTGGCTCACACCTATAATCCCAGCACTGTGGGAGGCCGAGACAGGCTGATCACTTGAGGCCAGATGTTGGAGACCAGCTTAGCCAACATGGTGAAACCCATTCTCTATTAAAAATACAAAAATTAGCCAGACACGGTGGCACATGCCTGTAATCCCAGCTACTCAGGAGGTTAAGACACAAGAATTTTTTGAACCCAGGAGGTAGAGGTTGCAGTGAGCTGAGATTGCTCCACTGCACTCCACCCTGGATGACAGAGCAAGACTGTTTCAAAAAAAGTCTTTTAAAATCTGATTTTTGCCAGGCGCGGTGGCTCATGCCTGTAATCTCAGCACTTTGAGAGGCCTAGACTGGTGGATCACGAGGTCAGGAGATCGAGACCATCCTGGCCAACATGGTGAAAACCCATCTCTACTACAATACAAAAAAAAAAATAGCTGGGCATGGTGGTACATGCCTGTAGTCCCAGCTACTCAGGAGGCAGGGAAATTGCTTGAACCCAGGAGATGGAGGTTGCAGTGAGCCGAGATTGCGCCACTGCACTCCTGCCTAGTAACAAAGCGAGACTTCGTCTCAAAAAGAAAAAAAAGGAAAAAGAAATCTGATGTT